GGAAGAGGCGATCGAGACAACACTATTATTGAATGCTCACAAATAAACTCTGAGACGTTTTGGGCAATCCATTATTTCTTTTTTTTGTTCTTTCTTTTTTCTTTCTTTCTTTCCTCCCCCCACCCACATTCCTCCCATGTACCATGGGGAACAACGAAAGAAGACTGAAACAAGGAAAAGTTATTGTGGTTTGCAATTTCAAGGTATGAGGCTTATCCTATCCCCCTTAATCCCACAAAGACTTTACACTCTTGACCACACTGGCCTCCTTCAGAAATTGTCAGATCCCATTTGCTGGAAGCTTCCTCCCCCCCCCACCCCTTCCCGTATGTATATCTCAGAGTCACCACTGATCTCATCAACATCTGCGAAACCTACTTTAAATTTTAAAATGAAAGATTTCAGTTAAACATACAAAATATACCAATACGGTATTCAAACAAAAATGTATTACAGAACTTGGGATTTAACAAGATAGATGTACTCACTGGACCAGCTGGATAGGGGGCAGGAATTTGTGGCTGTCCAACTGACATCCCAACTACAGGTGGCTGTGGCTAAAATAAAATATTAAAATTTAATATTAATTTTCATTACATGCTGAAACAATGATTTGATGCCAAATTGGTATGTGTTGAATTTTTACAAATTAGGAATTTTCCTTGCTGATTAGTCATGAATTATTCACTTCACGAAATGGAAATTTAAAAAAGTTTACTTTTTCAATTAACTTAATTAACTGAATGAATATGAGCTAACTAAATGTAAAAACATCAAGAGAATGTCTCTTTTAATAAAACCAACATGCTGAGGTTCAATAACCCAGGAAAATGACATTCCTATCTATCCTTACTGAGAGAGTAACAGAAACCACCTGTTAGTTTCTGACCAAATAAATAGCAAGATGTTGTTACAAAGCAAAAATACACTACAGCAAAACAAAAACTAACATGATGCAGATATCTGGTGTTGAACAGGTCAAGAATTAAAGTAATAAATAAATTTGATGAGTGTCTAATGAATTAAAATTTAGACACAATTGATAATTATCCTCTTATCTTATCTTAACCCACATAATTCTGCCTCTCCTACATACCAATTTGACTACATCATAGAGAGCTGTGGTAGCCAATATCTGTAGAAGATTCATTATTTCAAACCAAACAAAGGATTTCTAGGTATTGTGAGAAAATTTGAAAAAGATAAAGGAATGTGGTAAATTTAGATTGAAAACCTATACCTACTTGCATTTCTTAAATTGAATTTTAAATGAAATAAAGACAATAACTAAAAATATAATCAATGACTGATTTAAATATGTGTATTATATATTATTATTATTATTATTTGTTATAAATTATGGTATACTATACAGCATTATAGCAAATCTCATTCCAATTGGTAATGTTAACAAAGAGTGTTTACTCATAGCAAACAAACAGAATTCAGTTTTATACAGGTTTGTATGGTGGTTTTCAAGAGTTATGAACAAGCATGATAGTTCAGTTGGCTAAATTGGGGGTAGTCACTGTGTTTGTTTGCCCAACCACAGAGAACAGTGGTCCCTAGTTCAATTCTATTGAGCCTGCACTCCTTGTGTTTCAGCTCAAGCGCGTAAACACGGTCATTCAGAAGACACAAAGACTCCTTTGCCCCTAATTATATCGTACACTGATGTCTGGCCAACAATTTTCGGCATTTCATCTATTTATTTTTTATGATGCAAATGATAAAAAATGGAAATGAATGAATGAAGTGAATGGTGCCACCAGGCTCCAGTCAGGGTAAATATGCAAAGTTCACAGAAACTTGGCAATTGATTTGCGGTATGTTTATATATAAGTCATTTTAGATAACATAATGAGTTGATACATTTTAAAAATTGTTGTTTGTCCTATTTGTAGCTTGACTGACAGGCAATTAAGGCCACTCCACCACACCCACCCCCCACAAACACACTCATAAGTTTCACCACAGAGTGTAGAATATGGGTATGAAAACTGGTAGGATCTGTAGGTCTAGAAAAAAAACCAAATGGAAAAAAATATGAACATGTCCTAGATTGGGAAAAGTGTGATACGATACCAGTGAATACTCATTGGTATCTGCACACCAACCTGAATATTTCAACCCACTAGTCATGCTTGCCCTGTACCTACTGATACCCTTGAAATGATGACCTGAATGTACAATACATCACCCTTATTTAGTTTCTAGGCTCAAAAATTGCACTATGTACTGTATATACTGAAACAGTGAGAGCACCAGAGATTCCCCAATAAGGGATTGAAGTTCCCTGACCTGCGTCCTCATGCATGGTGAGCTGAGCTAAACAGGCACCTGTTGTTAGGGCAAAAAAATTTTTTTTTTGGGGGGGGGGGAGTGCACCCCCACCCGCACCCTCCCTTAGATATGCCACTGGTTTAGGTAGCTGCATGGCACATTCTGACTCTAAAAATGCTTTTTACAAAGCATTGATTGGCTTATACTGACTGGTTAAATTCAACTCAAAATGTACAGTGTAGTTTTCTATAGATGTGATGTTTACCAGATATTTATACTGTACCATCTTTAAGTGTAGAGGGGTAAATTTTATGCCATCCTATTATAGGGAGCTTTCCATTTGTTCGATGACGCAACACTTGAACAGAATCACTCACATGTGACCATCATAGCAAGGTCCTACATTCTCTGCATACTTAGATTTGGCCAAATTGCATCCTAGAATCCACGGAACAAGGAGAACTTAATGTTCTCGCAGATGACTTTTAGTGTCATTATGTTCCGTCGTCGTGCAATCAAAAGCTCCCAATCGATAATATGTCCCTACCTGGTGGGCTGAAGCCACTGGAGGTCTACCTGGAAGTGGTGGTGGACCTGTATGTTGCCTAAAATGCTGTCTAGGTGGATATGCAGGATCCATCTGTGCATGCATACAAAACATAATATGCAACATGAAAAACATAAACAAAAGCTTAAGCCAGGGACACACTGCAACAACTGATGAATCCATCGGCACTCTCTGCGATTGCCAGTGGTGGCACCAGTGGTAGTAGAAATCTGCCCCTCCCCCCCCACCTGGACAGGCCTGGACTCCCGTCGTCTGATACCACAGCAATCCTCCCCCACCTGGACGGGCCTGGACCCCCGTCGTCTGATGCCACAGCAAGTCTGTCAGACTAAAAATTTTTGTCTATCCAAAACATTATATTGATTGCCAATCCCTAATATTGTGGTCTAAAAGTACTAAACCATAAAACACTACCCATGGACCCTACCAGGAATTTTATTCTGAGACCCTCATCGAGGCTCTAGTCGGCCCCTCGGTTCGAACCCCGCTGTTGGACATGTCAGACTAATCGTTGGCAAATTTCGGGAGCCACCACTGGTGAGTGCTTGGGGGTGAAAGCTGTTTGCTGATTTTCGGTGGCAGTTTGAGAAGAATGTCATAAAAAATGATTTGTTATGCCATTCTCGTCGTGTTCTCCACAGAATTGCATCAGCCAATGATCATCTTCGCAGTGTGTGCCTGGCTTTAGGATAAGGCCAAATTAGAGAAACATGTTTCTTGTAAAAAAAATAAGAAAGGCAGATGGGGCCCCAACCCACCCTAGATCCCACCTCCCCTCCAAGAAACATAATCTTCTGTATTTGGCCAAAATAACATATTATTATATTAGTATAAATTAACAAAAATTTGCATGTTAATATAGAAATAATACTCAGCAAAATAAAAATAGAATATTTTAATTTAATTTAGGCAAACAGATTTGCAGGTAGTAAAAACATTATTAGTAACGCAATTGTGTCAGTTAAGAAAGTAAACAAGAAATAACCAAACTAAGCAATATAGTAGTTTTGCAGCCCAGAGTGTAAAAGATAAAATAAACAGAACAATAGTGTACTTCATTAGTTGGAGTAGAGTTAACCCAAGTGCAAGTTAGAAACATCAACATCAAGCAGCAAGGATGGAATTGGCTGTGCATCAGATTTACAATCATTTAATGAGGTTAGGTAACAATCTCCAGTGCTAGTGAACTATCAGGATTTGAACCCAAGACCTTCCAATGACTGTTTGAATACTCTACCAGCACAACTAGGCCAAGTGGTAGATACTAGGGGTCCCATGTTGGAAAAAGTGCCTTCCAGGAGATCTGGATGAATGAGCTTTCTTCTTAACACATCTAATTTTATTTTGCTGCGCATAGTGGTACTCATCATCACTGACTTTCTTGAGACAATTGGTAACATTGTAGTAAAAACATGCAAATATTATGAATTTGCGGGAGGGAGATGGGTTACTTTCCGGGAGATTCTTGCTTGCCTGCGGGAGTGTGGGAGGCCGTCTCGATTTCCGGGAAACTCCTGTGACTTTGGGGAGACTTGGGAGGGGTTTTTCCTACTATCATGAGGTTTGTGGCATGATGGGAAGTCTGTATCCAGACCCATTTTCAAAGGTGAATTAAGTCACTACGAGTGATTATGCACCAAACATGCAAACACACCCATTATTCACTTTCTTCATTCCAACGAAATCTGACCATCATATCATTCACTTGAATACACTGAACAGTGATTCCACCAATAAACAGAATTAACATCATATCTTAAGAGCTAATTAGCAAATTTCCAGTATATTGTATTAACTACTTAAGGCATCTGGCACATCACTTAACATGCTTAGCATAGCAAATGAAGCTTTCACAAACTACAAAAGCTTATTAGCTAAATAGAAAGTATATGATGTCACTTTTCTAAAATCCAACAAGATTGTATTTATTTTAATAATTGTGCGACAATCACTCAGCAAGCCTTATTATCCTGTTGCATATTTAGAAGGGTGGGGTGGACCATCACCCCTTATTTTCCCAATGCACCCGCATCATCTCCTATTTCAAAACTTATAAAAATGCCTCTGATTATATAGTGTATTTATACATTAATATTATAAAGCATAATATTTTAACTTTCACCCAGAAATTATGAGGGGAAACAAGAGCCTTGCAGGCGTCAACGTTCCTATGCATGATACATGACTTTAAGAAGTATATATACATATATATATATATATATATACATATATAT